ACACCTCCCGCCCCCGCCTCCGCGCGTCCACCCCCGCACTCAGCCACTCTCTCTCGGCTGCTCGCGCTCACACTCCCGCGGGATATCGAGTTGCTTCCGCCATGATTGCCAAAACCTTCGATACCGTGCAGGTTCCCGTCGTGCTCCATGAGGCGCTGAAGACGACCTTCACTGGAATTGTGCACCCCATCTCCACCCCTGACGCGCCCGTCCACCAGTATCGCGGTATCAAATACGCGTCCATCCCTGCCCGCTTTCGCCAGTCCAAGCTTTGCACACATTATCCCCCGTTGACGGACTGCTCTCGATTCGGGTATGTATATTTTGCGTTAACGGCGTATATGTCGTGTGCCGAATGTCCTAACTGATTGGCGCAGGCCAATATGTCCGCAGCCTATGTTCAAAAGCGTCGAAGAGGAGCTCTTCAACCTCACGGAGGACTGCATCCCCGACCAGGCGCTCATCCTCTCCGAATTCGAGTGCCTAAACCTCAACATCACCTGTCCTGCCGACTCAACGCCTGACTCCCACTACCCGGTCATGATATGGATCCATGGGTGCGTCCTGCAGCCAAGTGTCGTGTGTTGCTCCTCAGCTAAACCTTAGTCTGTAGGGGTGGGAATCGGGGCTCCGGATCGAACTGGATCACTGACGCTGGCCCGCTCGTGCAAAAGAGCGTGATCGCCGACACGCCTGTTATTATCGTATCACTAAAGTACGTGTTATGTCTGCCGCTTTGCTAAAGTCTCGTACGTCCTCCACTCGGGGGCTGAACCCTCCCGTCTAGCTTCCGCCTGGGCCTGCTTGGCTTCGCGGCTAGTCCGGCCTTGCGCGATGATAACAAGGCAGCAGGCGATGAAGGTGTGGGCAACTATGGTATGTGTGCTTCCTTCTTTTCCCACCCCCTCGGCCGTTGATCGTCCGACTGCTCTAGGCCTTCGGGACCAAAGAAAAGCAATGGAGTGGGTTCACCACTACATCGAGGCGTTCGGCGGCGACCCCACCAACGTCACACTCTTCGGTGAATCCACGGGTGCCGGCGATATCCTATGCCATCTCCATTCCGCCGCGAACGAGGTCGCCCCGTTGTTCCACCGTGCGATCGTGCAAAGCGCCATTGTCGATCTGGAGGTGCCGACTGTACCCCAGACCGGCTGGCAAATGTCGAAGCTCATGTCTGCGCTTCGGGTGCAGAGCGTCGATGAGCTGCGTGCAGTCGATGCGGAGAAGCTTGTTGTGCTCGGTGCCAGTATGCGTGCAACCGATGACGGCGTTTTCTTCCGCAAGTCGTGGAACGGGTCCTTGGTCAACGTGGACGAAACGCCGCAACACCACCACCATGGAGAAGCCCACCTGGGCGACAACCTCGTTCTCGAACTGAACTCACATTCACACCACCTTAAGGTTTCACATCACGGCCTCGACGTCAAGTCGCGGTCACATTCGCGCACGCGCCACCCTCATCCTGCAAGCCACCAGCCTGTGATCATCGGCGACTGCGGCGCGGAATCTCTGCTATGGACTCTACCTGCCTCTCTATGGACGCCTGCTGGCGCGGTCAAGCGGATACGGGCTATCTGCCAATCTCTGAACAAGGCAAACGTGCTGCTGCGCTCCTACGACATCAGCTCGTCTACGCCCTCGGACGAGCTCCCGGAACGCCTGCTGGAGCTGATTAACGACACGCGCTTCGCGTGGCCGACGGACCTCATCGCGTCAAGTTTACGTGCGGAACGCGGCGGACACGGGGTCTGGCGATACGTCTTCGACCAGGAGAGCCCCTCGCGCGGGCTGCCACATCATGCGGTCGACCTCATGTACATATTCGATAACGTGCCGCTCCCCTCCCTGCCCACGACATCACCGTACGACTTCACTGAGCCCCGGGAAGACGGGTGCTTCTACACGCCCGACTCCGACGACGAGTGCTCAATCGTGAAGACGTCGGCACCAGCATGTACCGATGACGACGACGACGGCCCCGGGTACGACTACGAGGCGGACTGGGCGATGCCGGTCGTCGACGACTGGACGTACGCGCGCGTGCGGAACGCGATCCAAGAACGGTGGCTCGCGTTCGCGCACGGGCGGGCGCCGTGGCGCTCCGATGGCGTTTATGTCTTTGGGCCGGAAGGCGAGGTCGGCGAGCGCAGCACGAAGATATTCCAGGCGCGGCGACGGGCGTCGGTGTGGAAGGAGGCGCTGGACCCGCTTGGGATGGAGCTCGTGCAGAAGCTGGGCGTCGAGCTGTGCAATGGGCCGCCGGTCGACTCGCGCTCATATTTCTAAGCTTATGCTTTTCTTTCTTTGGGTTCTTCGGATGCTGCACATATCGGATTGTCGTCACTCATGCTCGCACTTATGTATTGGTATCTTAGCATGTCCCCTTGTTGTTGTCCACCTACTACCGTATCCCATGCACTCAATTGAACACATTTCAAACGTCTCGAGCGCGCAAACTTGGTCGACTTGCATATCCCCATGGCTTCCCTGCCTCCCATGGCACGTGCAGAGGTTAATACGTCTTCTCGGGCATCGATGTAAGCGATGCGATGTGTTCTGACCTAAAGCGTACACACAACTTCGAAATTGAGCGATCGAGTCAAGATCGGAGTGCACGTGACACCCATGTGGGGTGATAAGTTATGCCACCGTTATGACTTGGTTAATAGCACCAGCCTGCGGATTTTTTCAATGTTCCGCCTCCTCTCTCGCCCCCTCCGCTCGCCCTCCCTTGCCTTCCGCAGAACAATGGCTGCCACCCCGGACTACGTGCGCTTGCTGTTTTCCTGTTTTCCTGCGCTGTGGAGCTGATACATGGCCGGTTTTTGCAGAACAAGGTGCTGTATGCGCCCCTCTCGGAGATCGACCCCGAGGTGCAGAACATCATCGACAAGGAGACATGGCGGCAGTTCTCTGGCCTCGAGCTCATCGCATCTGAGGTCTGTCTCTCTTTGCCCTGGCCTGTCGGCTATGCACAGGGGTTAATGCGGGGCACAGAACTTGACGAGCAGGGCCACGATGGAGGCCAACGGCTCCATCCTGACGAACAAGTACTCGGAGGGCCTCCCCAACGCCCGGTACTACGGCGGGAACGAGTACGTCGACGAGCTCGAGGTGCTCTGCCAGAAGCGCGCCCTCCAGGCGTTCCACCTTGACCCCGCTCAGTGGGGTGTCAACGTGCAGCCTTACTCCGGTTCCGTACGTAAACCTCCCCGTAGCGTTTGAAATGTCTGGCGTTCTGACATGTTTGATGCGCCCACAGACTGCGAAGTTAGTTGTACATATGAATTTGCGCATGGTTCGACACTAACCTTATGCAGCTTTGCGGCCCTCACTGCGCTTATCCAGCCCCAGGACCGTCTCATGGGTCTTGGCCTCCCCGATGGCGGTCACTTGACGCACGGGTACTACGTATGTACTCTCCAAGCTATGCATCGACTTTCACTGACCGGTATGTTACACAGACCGCTAAGAAGAAAATGACGGCGTCGTCGATCTACTTCCAGTCACTCCCCTACGCGCTCGACCCCGAGACGCAGCTGATCGACTACAAGGGCATGGCTAAGCTCGCGAAGGTCTACAAGCCGCGCCTCCTCATCTGCGGTGCCTCCGCGTACCCCCGCGACTGGGACTACAAGGCGCTCCGCGCAATCGCCGACGAGCACGGCGCGTACCTCATGGCGGACATCGCGCACACCAGCGGCCTCGTCGCCGCTGGCGAGCTCGCTGATCCGTTCCAGTACTGCGACGTCGTCACGACCACGACACACAAGACCCTCCGTGGGCCGCGTGCTGGTCTCATCTTCTTCAAGCGTGACTCGGACAAGGCGAAGGACCTTGAGAAGCGTGTGAACGATGCCGTATTCCCTGCGTGCCAGGGTGGCCCCCACAACAACGTATGTAATATTCCCGAATCGATCGCATACACATATATTGACCATGGTTGCTTCAGACCATTGCCGGTATCGCGACTGCTCTTCTCCAGGCGTGCCAGCCCACCTGGAAGGCGTACGCCAAGCAGGTCATCGCGAACGCCGCCACCCTCGGCTCAGAGCTCGTCTCGCGCGGCTACAAGCTCCAGACGTCCGGCACGGAAAACCACCTCGTGCTCTGGGACCTGCGCCCGCTCGGGCTGACGGGCTCGAAGCTCGAGAAGCTCTGCGACATCGTCGGGATCACGATCAACAAGAACGCCGTGTCCGGGGACGCGTCCGCGCAGGTGCCCGGCGGGATCCGGCTCGGGACGGCCGCGCTCACGTCGCGCGACATGCGCGAGGAGGACATGAAGGTCGTCGCGGACTTCCTGCACCGCGCGGTGCAGACCGCGCTCGTGCTGCAGAAGGAGGCGGGCAGCAAGCTCCTGAAGGACTTCGTCCGCGTCGCGTCCACGCCCGAGGAGGGCAAGGACGGCGCGCAGCAGGTGCAGGCGCTCGGGAAGGAGGTCCGCACGTTCGCGCGGAGGTGGCCCCTCCCCGGCGTGGACGTCTCGACGCTCACGCGCCCCGCGGGCATCGAGGAGCAGGACTAGTCGCGCTCCGCGGATCGGGTCTGGCTGGTGTATATCATAAATGCGCGGTAGATCTTGGAGGAGGCGGGTCCCCGGAGGTGGGGGGTCGTGTTGGATAGAGCTCGCGAAAGTAAAATAGCCTGTCGGGTATTCAACATAATCCGGCCCTCCCAGACGTTCAACATCTCTGGGTCGTACACATGTATCAGTAGATTCCACTCACTATCGTCGCTCTGCAACATTCACTGTACAGTTCTGGGCAAACAAAAGACTAGTGTTTAGTTAACGTGACGCGCATCGTGTTAGATTTGCAAGCTTCGGCCTAGCTGGACGACGCTTGGCACATGCAAGGCAGAATCATAGCATATTCCCATGTACATGCAGATATCGTGTGCATTTCCGTTTTCTGATAACAAATGGCCAACATGTAGAGAGACATGGTTTCGAAGACGACGGCACTTGGACACTTGATGAAGACAACAAAAACATGCTGCCCCAGTGAGGCTCGAACTCACGACCTTCCGATTGCGCATGAGATAACAGTCGGACGCTGTAACCAACTCAGCCATGGGGCATACATTGGGGGTTATATCTGACACCCTATATTCTGCTAGCGGTGCTCAGATATTGGTGTTTCGGGAGAAAGCGGGACGCGTGCTCGGCACTCTGCTCGGCGCTATCGGAAACGACGAGGAGCTCGCTTTCGCCGTCCGTCTCGTCCAACTCTCCGTCTTGCACGCCCGGTCGCGTTCACCATGCAGCCCTCTCTCATCCGTCGCCAGCTTGGTGGCCTCGTGCCCCCGAAAATTGCCACCCCCTCCATCCTCGTAAGTGCCCCGCTCCGGACGAGGATGCGCCAGCTCAAGGGTTTTCGCTGATGCTGAACGTATGCTCGCTCGACAGTCCTCTGGCTCGGGTGCTGGCCTCGGCCCCCTCGTGAACTTCTACTCCAAGCTCCCCAAGGGCCCCGCGGCGACGTCTGCAGGGGGAGGCATCAAGGCACGTTTCTTCAACGGCAAGAACGCGTCCGCGGCGCCCCTGCTCTTCACCATCTTCGGCATCTTTGCTCTCGGGTACACCATTGACTACCAGAGTGCGTCCTCTTGCTTTTATGTGCAAGTTGTTTACTGATTGCGTTGGCGTGGTGTTCTCTTCTGCCTTGTTCTCCGGCATTTTAGTGCATCTCAGTGAGTATTCCGCCGCGGAGTCGGACGAGCCCAGGAAGTACTGACGAACGTGGCCCATTTTGTAGAGCACCACAAGAACCACGCTCACTAAGCGTGTGCTTCAGGCGAGATTTGAGGAGCGATAGAGGTGGCAGTATTGTATCTGGACCTTTGAATGACATGCCGTCCCGCACACCCAAATGCAAAAGCCTCGCTCCCCCAATCTGCCCTCGCACCCATGGATGTAAGGCTCAAATTGAGCAAAACAATTGTCTGATCCAGCCGCGACGGTGAACAGGGCCCATCCACTCAGTGTCCGAGGCGTCCCGTTGGTTGCCAGTGGTCTGCGATGGTCGGGCGAACAACGAATTGTCTGCGAGGTACGATGCACCGGCTGTATCTCCGTCACTGTTGCTCCACGTCCGGTGTATGTGTCTATTTGCTATTCAAAGGTTATCGTGCATGGTTGCTCCAAGTGTTGCGGATCCGTGGGAACTCAGTGGAAGTGTCATATGAGATCCGCATCGGGACGTCGTTACGTAGCTATGGAGAACCATAATCAGGATAGCTACGAGGTTGACTTCCAACCTCCGTGAACATAGTACCTCTTTGGTCGATCGCCATGAGTTCCAGCCCACGCAAGGCGAGCGCGCTTGAGCGCAAACTGCATCAAGCCGCCCTGGGCAAAGCTGACAAGGTATGGCCAGTTTTATTGAGAACGCTACGTATACACGGCTAACACGATGTCTCGCAGGTTATATCTGCCAAAGAGGTAGAACATCTTGTACCAGACCCAAATACCTGTCTGGCTGCGGTAAACTTCTTGTTGGGAACGGTATGTGTTCGGTCGTATAATATTCAGTAAGGAACGACTCAGTTGTTAACTTGTTCTGATTGTTCTCAGGGTCTTCTTGTCCCACTCCGAAGCGACAATGGCCAGATTGCATACCGTGCAGTCACACAGGAAGAGTTGCAGACGTATGGTATCTGCTCACGTAAACCCAGATAGCTGTACTGACCATGATGATAGGAAGAAGGGCTTGACTGACGATGAAGGTCTCGTTTTGGATCGCATCCGTGCTGCTGGAGACGAGGGTGAGCCTTTTGGATAATTTGTCAGCGGCCGATGTTCGATGTTCAATGTTTCTGATAGGCGTTTGGACGAAGCATATACAAGTTAAAGCCCAGCTCCACCGGAGCGTCGTCGACCAGTGCCTGAAATCGCTCACTAAGAAGAACTTGGTCAAGACCGTCCCTGATGTGCGGGTCAGTCGCTCTCATCCTCCTCATACGGATGACACTACCACGAGTGCTAGTGTAGTATCCAACGCGCAAGATATATATGCTGGCGAACTTGCAGCCAGCTGCGCATCTAAGTGGCGGCCCGTGGTACACTGACAAGGAACTGGATACCGAGTTCATCAGATTGATGTTAGATGCGTGCCTACGAATTGTGCAAGAAAGGGTAGGAAAGTACCTCCATGTGACAACACCCAAATAACAGAATCATAGAGCTTGCCAAGATCAAGCAGGGCGGAAGAATTGCAGCGTGGACGGCTATATCCGCTTTCCTATTCGTCGTACCCGACGTCCGCGCAGGTTCTGGTGAGCTCTCCTCTATCTGCCAACCAAACCTTTCCGCTCATTGCATCCAGGTGTTTCTCCAGAAGAGCAGGATTACGGAAACTCAACTAACTATTGACCATGTCGAAATGTTGCTACGTGTTCTCATTCTAGATGGCAAGATCGAAAAGGTAAGCCTGATTACACGATGGGCGCGGAACGCATTGTCAGACCGCACTCCAGATACCCGCTTTCCGCCCCTGGTTATGGGACGCTAGTGATACGGAGAGCGAAGACGAGGGGACTACACCTGCACGAAGCTCGCAGAAGCGCAAGCGCACGCATAAAGAACGCTCTGTGTCCATCGAATCCGACGCGGACGCCGAAAAGAATGATTACAGTCCAAAAGGAGGGTGCGCAACTACGTTGATCTAACCCGCAGCTGTTTGTCAGGTCTGACTGCAATACCGTAGCCCACGAAAGAGACGAAGGATTCAAAGTCCCAGCGACTCATCTAGTGAATCGGGGTTGAAGGCCTCCACCGATCCCGCAGCTCCTGCCATCCGACACCGACGGAACACGGACGACGAGGCACACGATGCGGGCGGCGTCGTTTACAGAGCAGTCCACGAGGAGCGCGTCCCCTCACTTGGCATCAATCAGACCCCGTGCCTACGCTGCGAGCAGTTTGAATTCTGTGCACCACAAGGGCCTGTCAATGCTGGTGAATGCCTCTACTACGGTCAATGGGCTACTTCGGCCATAGGCGGCGAGGTATAGGCTGTATCGGACATCAGCGTTTTATGAAGGCGATGAGTAACTACTCCAAAATATAGATATCCCTCGTCAAGTCGACGGTCGACCTAAGCACGAGCATCAGGGCTATCCCGCCCACGCGCATTTGGCGAGGTTGCGGTCGGTACCCCCGGTGATCCCCAGTCGTTGCCACGCGCCCTACAATTGTGATCCACCGTTTCGTTGAACTCATCATTGAGTGTCGAAGTCAACTATGACGAATCTATTCTCGGAAGACCTGGACTCACCGACGATCTTTGCGATGTGGTGCCGTTACAGCCTCAACCGCAACCGCTCATCGACGATGCGCTGTGAAACCGACCCACTTGAACAGCTTGCAACGCCGGCTCACCTGGACAGCCTGTCGGGACGCTCATGCATAGACTTACATTCGACAGACTTGCTTGCGGCACTGCGAGGATGAATCCTCGACCCGCAAGCGTACACATTGACACAACGTTACGCGGAGGAGCGCCACGGTAGAGCGCCGAAGCCCAATCAAGTCCTGATGGGCGGCAGTACTTACTGCTCTCAAGTCTCGATTCCGCAGGACGACACCGATCCATATCTGTGATCTTCCACGCCCAAAGTGCGTCTGACAACTGTGCCTCGTCCCGCTAACTGCGTAAACAGCACCTCGAAGGCCATATGGGGCCGATGGGCTGGCATGCACGCAACGCGCGGTCAACATTCAATAGCGCGTTCATCTAAATGATTCAAAGTCGTCTGGCATTGCGCGCCCTAAACCTATGCAGGCGGTTGGAACAGAGCGCGGTGTGATTATCCCATCTCCCTGCCCCACCTGCTCCAAGTGCGATGCCCCTGCGCAACGACGGTGGAGCGCTGTCCGGCGTTGCATGCCCTGAAGGCGCGATTGCGCTCGCCGCTCGCAGCCACCGATCAGACCGCCTATTGCGAGGTTGTGCCCTCGTTGGCACGGCCTGGGTCGAGGTATATAAGTTCGCTCGCGCAGTGTATGGGCCCCCATCGCCTTTGGTCGAACACTTGAGCCCGGTGCTCATTTTTACATCCCGTTCTTCGTGCCGATTTGTTCGTGTCTTCATTCACGTCTTCGTTCTTCGCCGCAGCTCCATTCGTTCTACGACCTTTAACCGTGTTCTTTCATCCACGGCATGTTCTCCTCCAAGCTCACCGCTTTCGTCATCCTCTCCCTTACGGCCTTCGCGTACGCGGCGCCCGCCGACATCCAGAAGCAGAACGCGATCGACGCCCAGAACCTTAGCGCCAGTTTCGCCTCGCTCACCGAGAGCTCCCCCTGCCAGGGTACGTCATGCCATCCTGCCATTCCACCTAAGTAACCAAGGCTAATATCTTACAGATGGAGACAAGGCCTGCGTGAACGGCTCGCTGGCGCAGTGCGTCGACGGCAAGTTCGCTCTGCAGGAGTGCGCCGACGGCACGAGCTGCGTCGCGCTCCCCCTCACCAACACCCCCGGCACCACCGTCAGCTGCGAGACCGAGAGCGACGCCGACGCGCGCCTGAACGGCTCTAACCTCTCTAACAATGGCCCCACTGCCGCCATCTCTCGCAAGCCTGTGTCCAAGCCGAAGCCTGCTCCCCCGAAGCCTGCTCCGCCTAAGCCTGCTCCCCCGAAGCCCGTGGCCACCAAGCCGGCGGCGAAGCCCCCCGTCACTACTAAGCCGGTGGCGAAGCCCCCCGTCACTACTAAGCCGGTGGCGAAGCCCCCCGTTGCCACTACCCCGGCGGCGAAGCCCGTGGCCACTACCAAGTCAGTGGCTAAGCCTGTGGTCACGACCAGCGCGAAACCGGTCGTCACAACCAGTGCGAAGCCCGTGGTCACTACCAGCTCAAAGCCTGTGGTCACCACTAGCTCAAAGCCCGTGGTCACTACTAGCTCAAAGCCTCTGGTCACTACTACTGCGAAGCCCGTGCTTACCACCAGCTCGAAGCCCTTGGTCACTACCACCGCGAAGCCTGTGTTCAGCAGCTCGAAGCCTGTGCTCACGACCAGCTCGGTCGCGAAGGCCAGCTCTGTGATCAGCTCGGCAGCGGCGTCCACCACCGTGCG